TATGACTGGCCGGCGAGGGCATCGGAGGGGGCATCGAGTGCTTCATCACTGGAGGTGGTGGTGGTGGCAGCTGTGAGTACAGGCCACCGCCCAGGTAGCCTCGACCTTCCTCTGTAAAGAAAGAAAATCATCAATCAGATGTCTATACAGTTGTACAAAGTTGTACAAACCGGAGCTGTCGTATGAGTATCCGCCCGCTGAGGAAGGCTGCGCCGACACTGGCCTCATTCTCTGCTGAAGAACGGAATTTGGCGGCGGCGGTGGCGGCTGTGCTCCTCTCTGCTGCGGCGGTGGCAGCTGCGAGAAGAGCTTATTGTTGGCCAGGTACTGACGACCTTCCTCTGCAAAAAAAGATTAAGATTATTATCAGGGTGATCAAATGAAAGTAAACATCCCAGATCTGACCTGGATTAGTGTAGACGGGCATGGCGGCTGTGGCAGTGGGCTTCGGCGGAGAGGGCTCCTTGATCTGGCCACGACTGTTGAGCTTCACCTTGCGCGGCAGTGAGCCGTAGTACATCTTCCCACCACTGCTGACAGCGGCATTCGGAGAGGTGGGCGAATTCGGAGAGGAGGAGGAGAAGGAGAAGGTGCTGCCACCGACGGAGGAGCCACCACCACCAACGGCAGAGAAATGGGCACCTGGCTCCAGGCCAGAAGAGAATCGCTGTACTGCTGATGCTCCCACTTCTGCAGCGGCAGCGACAGGGATTGCGTGGGCGTCGGAAAGAGAGAGCGACGGCAACGGTGTGTTGGCAGCAGTCATCACGAGTGATGTACAAGCATAAAAGAGAACAAGAGAGAGAGAGAGAATAGAGAGAGAGAGAGAGAGAGAGAGAGAGAATAGAGGAGAATAGTATTTATTAGAAAAGACCGCTCACTGAATGAGGTAATTGTACAGATTGAGGTAACCTGTGTCATCGGGGGCACCCGGAGGGTGGCCGGGTAGGGAGGACACCTGTCCCGAGGAGGCGAGGCTGACGGTGGAGAGGGGCGTTCCGCCGCCTCTCACCGCGCCGCCGCCCTGGTTGACGCACTGGTTGACGAAGTTCTTGGTGGTCTTGATGGCGCGGTTGCGCGCCTGGTGGGCGTACAGCTCGCGCTCGGCAATCTGCTGCTGCACCGGATTGATGCGCTCCTCCACTATCTCCGGCGCAATGTCGTCCGCCGGGCGGGGCAGCTGGTTCTTGAAGGCAAACGGAATCACCCGCTTCTTCTTGCCCGCTGCTCCGACCGAGGCCGGTGAGGGCTGACTCTGCTGCTGCGCGGGCAGCGAGACCACCTGGGCCCGGTACAGCGGCTCATCGTGGCTCATCCCGCCGGGGTGGCCGTCAGGGCCGCGGTAAAAGGGGCGCGGACTCGGGTTGAAGGCGCTGTTATAGTCTAGGGAAGGGGAATAACACAGCCAGTTATCAATACTGTCTACTATGATCACCCTCTCTCTCTCTCTCCCTGAAATGGATTACTCGAAGTCGTGGTGGTGGTAGTGCTGCTGTGGTGCATGGTCTGTCCCGAGGGCGTCACACAGCGAATGCTCCCATCGGCGCTGTCCATCAGGTGCTCGTGCTGAAAGGGCGGGCAGCTGGTCCGACCACCTCCATCATTTGAGGGAGCATTGTAGCCTCGAGAGCTCGGTGACTGCACACCGCAAGGACCCGTTCGGGTGACCTGCACCGAGGGATAGCCCGAACCAGAAGCAGGGGCGTGCTGGTGGCTCACGTGCTGATGCTGGTGAGAGTGCTGCTGGTGTTGGTGCTCCGTCTCTCGACTGATTGCCTCAAACTTGGCAATCTCATCTGAGATGGGTGTGGTCCAGCCGTGAGAGGGGGAACAATTTAGAAAGACAAGTTAGACTCGGTTTAGTCTCAAAGAAGGTGTGTTTGTGTGTGTGTAGNTGGTCCAGCCGTGAGAGGGGGAACAATTTAGAAAGACAAGTTAGACTCGGTTTAGTCTCAAAGAAGGTGTGTTTGTGTGTGTGTAGGTGTTAGAGATAGATTTAGAAGTGGCAGTTTAGAGGAGTTTGTTGTTGTTGTGGTAAAGACTGTGATCTCATCAGACCGTTATCTTGTTGCCTACCTTGCATGTCATTGAAGAGCGTCTCCAGAATGGCCGACTGCTGCTGGTGGTTGTAGGAGGCGGAGGAGGCGGGTCGCTGCTGATAGGCCTGCATCTCTTCAAGGGGTACTTCTTCTTCTTCTTTGGGTTGACTTGGGGCCAATGGAGGGGACTCTTGAGAATAGAGTGATGGCTGCTGATTGTGATTGCTTTGCGGCTGCGACGGCGGCTTGGGCGCCTGTACTCGTCTGAAGGCGCTCCCAACTGCTGTACAACTGCTGTCTCTGCAATCTGCCGACTGATTCGCCGTCCTTGTGCAAGCAGCAGCAGCACCATCAAGGATTCTCTCCTGCTCTGGCGCACTGCCTGCTGAGTGATTCAATCCAGATGCGATGCCTGAAGAGGATTGAGGCTGAGGATTGAGGAGAGACTGTTGCTGTTCCTTGAGACGCATCTCACTGAGCTCGCTCTCTATTCTGCTGATCATCTGGCGCATCTTTGCCTCCTCCTCCTCCCCCTCCTGCTGTACGTTAGCAGCAGAACTGCTATTGCATTCCTCTTGTTGCTCCACTGACACTCTTTCCGACTGAGCACCGCCATCAGGCGTAGGTGTCTGCTGCTGGCCTGATTGCACCGGCAGCACTGCAGTCGGCCGAAAGACTGAAGTGGATAAAGAGGAGGAGGAATTGCCGCCTGGAGAGTAGGGCGCCAGAATCGGCGGCGAGGGAAGCTGTGAGCTGCCATTCTCGTACAGTGGTGGCTCACTGGGCTGCTCAATGCTGTTGTTGTTGGCATCACACTGCTGATGCTGAAGCTGCTGCTGCACCACCGTCGGCGAGGCCGGCGAAGTGTACGGCTGGTTGCTGTATGGTGGTGGCGACTGTGCTGACTGTGCCGCCGATGTCGCTAACTCTCTGCCAAATTGTACAGCGGATGAGGCGGAGGCAATCAGTGACGCCATCTCATGCTCATTTCGAAGATGATGCGAGGAAGATGGTGCTCCGCCATTCTGAATAGACAGAGGATATAACGAGCAATTAAGGTCCTGCCAGTAGATGATCACTCAAACATCTGTGCGCTTAAGCTCTCACACTCTCAAAGAAAAACAAAGTCCACCTACCTGAGCTGTTGAAGGAGTTGAGGATGATGACTGTGTTGGCGGTGGTGGTGATTGCTGTTGTTGTTGCTGTTGTTGCTGAAAAGTGGTCGACTGTGGCTGCGGTGGGGGCGTTGGCGGAACAAAGGCACTCGACTTGACGGGCGGATAGCTCTGCGGTGTGTACGTCTCAATGATCGGTGGCGGCGGTGGGGCACCGTACACTGGGGCGGGAGTGGGAGTGGGCGATTGAGAGAATGAAGCACTTGTTGATTGCTGCTGTGGTGGTGGTGGTGGTGGTGGTGGCGATGGAGCACCACTGATCTCGGTGTCCGGCTGATTGGTGCAGATCTTACTCCTCGCCTCGACGTCCAGCCGCCGCCGCTGCAGCTTAGCCGTCAGCTCCTCGTCGTCGGAGAGGACGAGAATGGGCGAGGGCGCAAAGCGAACCTCCTTCTTCTCACGGGGCGGCGGCGGAACGGGACTGCCGCCGGATCGAGTTTTACTTTCAAGAGGTGGAAGAACACAGGGGGCAAATGACTGCTGGTAGATGTTCCGAGATGGCGGAACCGGCGAAGAAGAGGAGTTGTGATTGACCATGGCCAGACTGGAGCTCGGTCGTGAGCCCTCATCGTCAGTACT